TTTTTATTATTATTTGCTTTTATTTTATATTAAATCATCACACTACGGATATCATTCTAATGTAAAATCTATCCTTTGTACTCTTATTTATTTAAGTTATATTATTTAACTAGATGTTATATTATTTAACAGTTGTAATAAATATTGTAATTAAAAAAAAACTTTTGAAAAAAAAATTAACGGATTGTTATGGAACCTTTTTTAGCGTATATATCATGATCTTATAGAACTTACTGAAATATTACGGCCTTACGACAAGTAATTTAATTTTAAAAATTTCTCAAAGTTTGAGAAAATGAGTGTTTTTTTGACGCTAAAATTAAAATTAGACGATTTACTTGGTATAACATTAGAGTACTTGGTCTTAATGAACATACTAAACCATTAAAGTCCTACGAAAACTGGTTCAAATATAAAAATTGATGATTTTTAAAAATTTTCTTTTAGAAAATACTCCGTGTAATAAATCCACTCGGAATACTTTTAATTACTCGATTATTTACACATATCAGGAAGTTCATGTAACTTGCCTCAAGGCAATATACCAATACCAACCAGTTGTTGGATTATTTACACACCTAGAAGGACAAACAAAATATATTTATAAAGTTCCGTTCATTCAATGGATCTATTAATTTTGAAATAATTTTTCCGCCAATTCCGCTCACATAAATTCAATTCGTATGAAAAATTTTACACAACTTATTTTCAAATATAAATATTATTATATTTATTTATAGTATTTTCTTTAACGAATTAGTTTTGAAGAAATTGCAGGTACATGATGATATATAAGAATGATTTTTTAAGAAAAGCATCATAAATATCAAATCTTTGCCAATATTTACAATAAAAATGATTAGTCTTAAATTTCGCTAGATTTTTTTTCTTTTAAAACGCGATAACAACTATTTGAATAACTCTTGTCGATAATTTTTTTCGTCATTATTAGTTTCATCATCAACAGCATTTTAGATTATGTACAATGTGAATTGATAAGCTTCAATAATGAATCGATAAGGTTTCTAACTTTGAAATCTTATTGTCGTGGCGCACTTGGCATATCATTTAGTTGTTTGACTTGGATTCATATGCACCACAGTACGGCTGGAATGCACCGATCCGAGATTTTGTTTTTGAAAAGTGCATTTTTATTGTTTGTGCCAATTTGAGATAAGAAATCGGTCTTAGATTTATCTTCAATGTAAGTAACTTGAAAAAATATAGTAATATTTTAGTAGGTGTAATAATTGTTATACTCATCATTAAAAACATCTACAAAAAGTATATATTCAAATGCCGCAAGATAATTTGGGTCACTTGTATATTAAATATGTAATAATCTGATCAAAATAGTTTCAGACTGTCAATTTTTTTTAATTTAACGTCCTACATTATCATGTAATGTGATTGCACGAGTAAAGGATTAATAGATTAATTACTTATCTTGACTATATATACATAAACTTTTATATACATATATATGTATACGTATATAAATAAAAACTATGTATATATAATAATAAACCTTAGGATTTGGCTTATTTTATACTTATTTATCTATGAGATTTGGATTTTTCTAGAATTAAACCTAGGGGTAAATTTTCATGCTACACTCGTCGCGCCTCTGTAGCAGAAGCGGAAAATTAAAATTAAAATAATCGAAAAGCGGTCCGGTTTGCTATCTATTTGTACTTGTTTATCTATGTTCAGAAACGCGTCAAAGAAGGCCACGTGCCATTTTCAAGATGTTTATATAATTTCTTTAAATTTTTTTCTTAATCCACTTTCATAATTAACACTAAATGAATTCCATATAATGTTGAAATTACAACCACTATCTAATGGTTCATTTTTGACAATTTGATATAAAAAATTGATATAGCCAGGTAATTATAAGATTTGTGGATTGGTATAGAAACTATTACTATAAGAGAAAAATTAAAAGAACAGCAACATTTAACAACAAAAATATAATAAAGGATAGCAGAAGTAATAAAGATAGAAACTAGATAATAAATAAAAATATATATAAAAATATATACATATAAATAAATACATACATATAAAATGCAACGGAAGTGCGTTACGGCAAAGTCGAGTACCAATGATACGTCATTCGCTCACGATGATGCCATTTCTACACGGGTCGATTCTAATTGGTCGTCGTATTTGTGCGAGGCTTTTTTGTATGCGTGACTTTATACGTGCGTACGTCACCGAGTGCGTGTAGTTCATTTTTCGGTGTTTCATATCATTACATTATAAGGTTAAATAGTAGTAAAAATCTTGAGTTAATAAAAAATGTCTGGATTGGAAGAATATTTTATCCCGTCCGCTATATATAATTATAGTGCAAATAATAATGCAAATGAAAAATCTGTGTCGTGTAAGAAACGTAAGTTTATTGAAATAATTTGTATTATTCGTGGTTACTATATATTCTTGAGGTTAATAAAATGGAAATTATTTTTATATGCGAAACATATACTACAACTGTTAAAATAATGAAACTGTATCGCCAGCGAAAAACTAAAAAAACAAGCAATCAAAGATTGTATGTGAATTTTAATTACATGAAGTTCTTCAAACACAATTTCATGATAAGTGAAATTGTGAAAACAATATTTATTAAGGCGTTGTTTAACATAATAATTCTCTGCATTTTTATAGATATTAAAAATATTAAAGCAGTATAGCTTTATTCTAATATGCCAAAGATATGTCTTTGTTAAAATTATATCTCAGACACTTTTGTAAGTTTAGAGAAAGTCTACATGTTTTTCGTTTATAATGGCTATTAAGTATTACAAAGTTGCATATTTTTATAAGTAATGAAGAATAAATTGATATTCAGATTCATTACTCTAAACGAGAGATCAAGCACAACAATAGTTTGTGTAGCTGTGTATCATTTATATACAGATATACTTTATAATAGACATCTATGCATTTTATTCATTGCCAGTGTTACTGAAATCATTTAAGATTGTTATATTACTGCTATCCACTTTGATAGTATAAAGTAATCAGCAATTTATTTCCCTAATAAAGCTTCAAGTCCTAAATGCTAATTCCAATGACAAACCGATCATGTATTATTAAAAATATTGTTAATGCTATTATAAATTTATAACTTTTATAAATAAGTATAATGGTTGAAATTAAAAAATGTGTACATCATGAGTGTTACCATATTACTGATGAACATTATTCAAAATTGTTATATGATGTATTTATTTTTAACTTAATTGTACAACAGCAAAAACGATTTACTTCAATCGCGTGTGAACCTTAGGCGCACTCTTTTTTTTATGTATTGCCCTATAAGATCTTACTCATATATATATATATATATATATATATATATATATATATATATATATATATCTTATATATAAAATTCTTCTGTAACAATGTAAGTTTCATTAATCCTCCTAAACTATAATTCGGATTTTCATGAATCTTCCTGAAGTTTGATCGGGAAATTTTCTAGAATGTTTTGATTCACAGAAATATAGTTAGATTGTAGAAATAAATGGAAAAAAATACAAAAAACCGCTTATCATTGTTTGACCTTTAAAATATTTAAGGCATGTGTTGTGCCCTCGTGTGAGGAAATGCGAATACTTTACTTTAGGATTCTTCAGCGTTAATAAATAAAAGACTTTTCACTGTTAATAACAATATATATTCACTTGAGTTATAAAGTAATAATTTGAGTTGAGTGATATAAAATGACTATGTACGAAGTTCTGGAATTTGGTAGTTGTTCTTGAGATGTCCGGAAAGAAAGTGGACGAGTTCTCGTAAGTGCATGTACCATGCAACTTGCGTAATCGTGGGTGGGGGAAGCTCCTAGCTCCTAGAGAGGTTTCCTAGCTAACGGCTTAGGCGTTGAGGGACTAGATGGCGTAACACATGGTTTGACATTATAAACAAATGACAACTTTCATTTGCCAAACATTTCTATTCACTTATAGGCTAAGGCAATATTAAAATATAATAAATTCATGATTATAAACAAGGAAAATGTAATGTCTACATTATTATTGCCGAAAAGCAGCTGAGATATGCCAAAAATTAAATTAATATAATATGCAAATAATATAACATGCTGTTATATCTTTGCCTTTAGCGATGAAGGTAATTTGATATTTTTAACACACCACAAGATTTTCATAAATTTATTACAGGATTAATTATACAAAGTTTCATTAAAGTTTATTATAATTAAAGGTTATGTGTGTCTTGACGTACAGATGGAAAGAGAATGAGCCATAGATAAAAGAAGAGTATATAGATCGCTCTCTCGGGCCATATTTCGTTGCCACATTCCTGTGTTAGTTGAAGCCCCGCGCTACAGATGGCACTAGTCGCCTGAACGGGTGCGTATAAAAAATACTATAGAAATGAACCAAAATTATATGGACCGTTTTAATTCAAAATTTAAAAAAAGAAAAATTGAAAAAAAAAAAAATTTTGAAGCATTTATTTTTCACAAAAACATTCTACATTATATCTACATAGTTCTCTTTATAAACAAAGCACACATAGCATAAAAATGTACATAAATATACACATTATCCACAATGTATATATATATATATATATATATATATATATATATATATATAACATTATATATGATTATAATAGATGGTAGTAAGCTGTAAAAACTATGTGCGAAAAGCATAAAAATGTACTTAAATGTACACGCTATCCACAATGTATATATATATATATACAAATATATATATATATATATATATATACATATATATATATACATATATATATATATATATATATGTGTGTGTGTAATATCATTTTAGCATATCAGCCTTTCAAGCTGAGCACAAAAAAAATAGAAATGTACATGAATGTATATATTATTTATATATATACATATACATATATAACCACAATTCTTTGATTGATATTGATTCAGATCAATATATAACCAATATATATATATATATATATATATATATATATATATATATATTTACATATATATTTATTTTGATTAACATTAAGTTACATAATATCTATGATGTACAGTCTCTATTTGGGAATCTTTTCTGCGCTATTGTTAATGTGCATTCAAATGTTTGTTCAAAATGTCATTATTATCATTGTCTTAAAGAAAAACAACAATCATTGATATTATTATAACAGTACTTAATAGTTTTCTTATAGCATCTACAATAAGACATTTTAGAGTAAAGCTATTGACATCTCTTTCAGAATAGTCAAATGCAATAAGCAAGTGCACATTAAGGGTGTTTTATCCCTTTGCTTTTTAGAATTTTATCATTAATCATGATTATACTTTGCCTGTCATTTGACAGTTCCTGAAAATCTATACAATGTGATTCCCTTTATCATCATTAAACAACACAGATAATAATATTTCTTGTAATATCAAAATGAAATTATTAATACTTAAAAACTTTTCCTGTGACATAGCCAAACCTAAATTAACCTTTGCACTAGCTAGAATTTCACCATTTATTGAGAATTTCCTTTCACTTACGATTATATCATTAGTGTTTTTAGTATGTTCTCCAAACTGACTTAATATATAATTACGAGTCGTACTGTTCAATATTAGTGGGAGATCAGCAAAGATTTCAGCACATTTCAGACTTCATTCTTATTGTTTTTTCCTGTGTATTCATTCATCTCATATCAATACTTGTACACTTGTGAATGTGTTTAGTAAACCGTCTAAACATTTTACATTTGAACGTATTTTCCTTTTATACTGCTGAAAAAATCGATGTAGAATTATTAGTTATGATCCTACATTATTAGAACAAGATTAATTTATATTTAGTTATTTAATAACATACCTTTCAGAGAGCTGACAGGAATTCTCTCTGTCTATTTATAACCTTAAAATTTCTAGTATTGATATAGTTAAATGTCTCAATTATTTCTGAATTATTAAACTGTAATGAAAAATCATATCAGAATAGTACAATCAAATGAAAGTAATTCGAAGTATGCATATTAATAAAAGTACTCACTTAGATTGAAAGCCGGCAAATATTATTACTTATTTTACTTTTACTTCGTCGTTTCTCGCTGGAACTACATAATACATGCATTTTTCTTGGTATTTCTTCTTCGTTAAACAATGCACTTCGACAGCTTATTTGTTTTTTACTCTAACAAGCATTTATTATATTGTCTAGGTTATCTCTCCATGAAAAATTTATTACAATGGACGCCATGTTTAATTTAAGTATCTGTCATATGTCAAATTCGATTTCAAAGTGAAAAAAAAATAAAAAAAAAAAAACAAGCGCGACCGGCGGCAGGGGCTCTAACTAAACTCGGGTTACAGACGTTTGTTCCGAGATTACCGGCCATGGAATGAGCCTTGTGTTGTCTTCTAGGGGTCCTCTGTCTAGGCGGAAATGTAGGCTCCATAGCAGGTAGATTGGAACTCAGAGATGTAGAGTCCATAGATAAGTAATAAGTATGCACATAGAGCCATAAATGCGACGTCAAAAATGTAAGGGTGTCGGCGCATAACATACCTTCCCCCTTCAGGAGATTATAGTTCATTACCAAATTTAGACATTTTACAATAAATTATGAACTATAATCAAAAAACATAATATAGAAAAAAGTACATAGTAAAAGAAGAGAACAATTTCACAAAGGACATAGAAATGACACAAAGGACATGAAAATGGAAGAAAATAATATTTATGAATTAACACAACACTTAAGATTAAATATTTCAAAATCAATGCTTAGAACTAGTACAATGTAGAAATGAAAATTAGTATAAAATCAATCATTAACAATAGAAATAAGAAAATAGAATTAAAATTAACACATATAAGAATAGAAAATAATATACATTTTAAATAGAATTATAATCATTGTATAAAAGGTTTAATCCTATTTACATGAACTTTTAAAGATTTCTTTCCACAAAACAGAGTATAATTAACAGACGAGTCCTTAGAAATAATTTCATATGGACCAATCCATGGCATAATTAATTTTTTAGATTTTCCTCTATAAATAGTTTCATTCTTTAATAGAACCAATTCACCAACGTTAAACTCAGTTTTCTTTGAATTCTGATCATAGTATTTTTTGGATAGGTGTTTATTTAGGATGAGGTTTTCTCGGGCGATTTGGTTTGCAGATTGAATTCGATGTTTAACTTCTTTGGCATAATCGTCATATGTATATTGTTGATCAGGAGTTTTGTGGAGAGAGGATGGGATTTCAGGGTTATGTCCAAAAATAAGTCTGAATGGACTAAAACCAGTGGCTGAATGCGGAGTGGTGTTAAAAGTAAAAATGGCATAAGGCAGCCAATTATCCCAATCCGACTGATCAGGTTTGACAAAATTTCTTATATATTCGATTAACGTACGATGGGATCGTTCCAATGCGCCATTAGATTGCGGATGGTACGCAGTGGTTTGGATTTTAGAAATTTTAAGTATCTTACAAGTATTTTTAAATAAAGCACTGAGGAAGTTAGTGCCCTGGTCAGTTAATAATTTTGTTGGGATGCCATAATTACAGACAATGTCTTCTACGAAAACTCTAGCAATAGTCTCGGCATCCTGACTTTTAATAGCAATTGCTCTACTAAACTTGGTTAACAAATCCTGGAATGTTAGTATATATTTGTTAAACCTAGAAGTCTCCGTTAATGGCCCTACTATATCGAGGGAACATTTTTCAAATGGCTTAGAAGGAGTATCTGTAATGATCATGGAATGTTTATTCAAGTGATAACTTTTATTGCGTTGACATAAGTCACAATTTTTAATAAATTTTCGAAGATTGCGTCGAAGTTTAGGCCAGTTATATTTAATGAGAATTCTTTTTAAAGTACGTTTAAAACCTTGATGTCCACCGAGTGGCTTAGTATGATATTCATTGAATAATTCAAGTTTGTCGTCATCTGTCAATATATGTTCAAGAGGATAATTGTAAATAAAAATGGTAATGTCATGATTTTTAAAAATATATCGTAGCATGGAACGTACTTCTGTCCAGTCTAAGTTGTCAGTCTCGTTAACGAGAATTGGTAATGATAATTCTTTTGCATTTAATTGTAAACATAAGTCTTTTAACTTATGTAATAGTAGTGAATAAGATCTCAAAATTAGTCAAGTCGTTTTCAGTATTTCTTGTTATCAAATAAAATATAAAAATATCTTTATTTTTAACATACGCTATATCCCCTACCCCTATATTTTGGGCAATTAATTCATTTGTTCTATTATATTTACTTTGGATTTTTGAAAATAAAATATGGGAGCTTAGGAAGGTCTTTGGGGTATCGATGCAAATGGAGCGTTTGCCAGAAATAAAATTATCGTTACTTCCTTCAATTATGTTAGGATTTGTGATTATTTGAGAAGAAAGTGTTTCTCTAAAATTATTAATATCATCAGTAATTACATTATAAACACGACTCAACGCATCTGCGTTAGTATTGCTACTCCCTTTTTTGTAAACGATTTCATAATTAAATTCTTCAAGTTTAATTCGCCAACGCATTAAACGTGAGCCTGGATCTTTTAAATTAAACTGCCATGTGAGAGGCTTATGATCTGTAACGATTGTGAACTTTACGCCGAAAATATAAGGTCTAAAGTGGCGTACAGCCCATACGATTGCAAGTAACTCTTTTTCAATAGTAGAATAATTTAATTCAGCCTTATTTAAAGTTCGACTGGCATATGCGATGGGCAAATCCTTACCAATCTCACCCTGGGAGAGAATAGCACCTAAAGCTTTGCCTGAAGCATCAGTAGTTAAATTAAATTGTTTTTCAAAGTTTGGATAAATAAGAACTGGTGCAGTAATTAAAGCAGATTTCAAATTTTCAAATGCAAGTTGTTCTTGCGAGGTCCAATTAAATGTAACATATTTTTTTAATAGATTACTAAGAGGTCTGAAAGTTTTAGAAAAGTTGTTAATAAAACGCCTATAGTAACCCGCAAGGCCTAGGAAGGATTTAATATCTTTAGAATTTTTTGGAATAGGAAAATTTAAAACTGCGTCTATTTTGGAGGGGTCAGGTTTTATACCCTCGGGAGTGATTATATGCCCTTGGTTTTAATATGTACAATGTAGTCGAGAAGTGCAGTATGATAGTCTTCATGTACTTGTTCAAAAGCAAAATTACAATTGCGAATAAAATGAGTATATTTATCTTGGCTAGAGCCATCAAATGAATTAATCATTTCTCTAAATTCCTTGAGCTTTGCAGCCATGGTTGATGAGTGTTCGAGGAAGATGGAATGGAAGGAGTCGAAGAAAATTTTGTTCTTCGAATAGAAGGAATTGGTAAAATATTAATCCTATTGAAAACTGAGTCTACTAGTAAAGTGATTGGTTACCTGATTCTGAGACTAATCGTAGAACAATATTCAAAAATGGACTCGTAGAATAATTTTCCAAAATTGGACTCGTTGGATCTGCTAATGATTCTCTGATTTGGATACTCGAAGCTCTGCTGGTACATTCAATATATTAACCTACACATTTAACATGAGATTAGTAAAATTGTTTAAATGAGATTTAAAAAAAAAATAGTAATGATTAAAAAAAATTATGAACAGTGTGGTTAATTGGAAATAGTAATATAGTATAATGATTTAGTAGATACAATGTAATGAAATAGTAAAATATAGTAATTTTACACTATATCACAATCAAGTTCTATAAATAGTATAAATTTTAAGAATGAAAGAAAATGGTAATTAGAATATAGTAGATCAATTTGTTTTTGAATATAGTAAATATTAAGAATATAGTTGTAAAATGTGTGATCAAATAGGATATAGAAAATAGAAATAGTAATTTGTAAGAAATAGTAGAATTAGTAAATATGATACTTTCACACACAAAACACAGCTATAGTCTAGATTTAGAAAACAAGATATGGAAATACTTAAAATAGTAGGATATAGTAAAATATAGTATAATAATAAAAATATAATTGCAATTAGTGTGATTAATTTGGAAATAGTAGAAATAGTAATTGAAATGGAATATAGAAGATGTAGTAAAATATCACACACTAGTTACAATTAAATTTTACTAATTAAAACATGGAAACATGGAAGTAATTAAATATGGAAACTTTGATAATAACATGGAAATTTATTTTATGATAAATATTAGAAAGAAATAGAATGTCTAAAATTTGGTAATGACCGTATAATAACTCTGATGAAATATGTATATGATACTATCCTGTAATGGCGTCCAAAATGCGTTCCTTTATAGAGTGTTATGCCGTAATGGCGGAATTCGGGCCAAAAGAACTTCGAATACGCTGTGGACGTCTGCGGCTTTGTCCGATACCTGGGCCGTCCGATACAAGCTTGCCACGCTATACGTTCCTGTCCGATCCTCGTGTCCGATACGGAATACTTCCTTCGCTTATTTTGTGACGTCGATGTGTTTTTCTTAATTTTTGTAAAATTTACAAAATATTACCTTACATTCAGGCCTATTTTTCAGTTCATCTCACAAGCTGCCACCAATGTTATATCTTTGTCTTTAGCGATGAAGGTAATTTGATATTTTTAACACACCACAAGATTTTCATAAATTTATTACAGGATTAATTATACAAAGTTTCATTAAAGTTTATTATAAGGTTATGTGTGTCTTGACGTACAGATGGAAAGAGAATGAGCCTTGTGTTGTCTTCTAGGGGTCCTCTGTCTAGGCGGAAATGTAGGCTCCATAGCAGGTAGATTGGAACTCAGAGATGTAGAGTCCATAGATAAGTAATAAGTATGCACATAGAGCCATAAATGCGACGTCAAAAATGTAAGGGTGTCGGCGCATAACAATGCGTTTGACAAGTGATGATGCAGTCTGCGCATGTGTCTGACGTGCGCGTGGTTTGCTTTTGCTTGCAATAATTTTGTCTGCGCACTTTGCGAACAGATTCGCCGTACGAATTCGTGCAAAGGAGAGAGCCATAAGTGATTGCGCTCAAAAATATTCAATTTGCAATCGTTTTGCCTTACTATACTAAGTTACAATACAAAAAAAAAAATATTTAGAAGTTTCATTGTGTCAAAAATTCATATGGTTGGCATTTTGTACGGAATATTTACTCAATGGAGCGCTTTCGGTCTGAACTTTTTTTTACTGTTTTCCATTTCGTTTGGAATTTTGGAACTAGGTTTATCTTACTCTTCATAAGTGAAAACAATTTAGACTCCTTTACCACTTCTCGGCTGGAAGACATTTTTTTTCAGTGGTCTAATTTTACTTTTTTCAAAATAACGTTGAGTATCGATAAAAGAACTAATTATAAGAGAAAAATGTTTAATAATGTTTTTCAAAAAAGAAAATACTTTTCAAGTTACTGGCTACTGAAAATTTGTTTCTTTTTGCGTTTTTCATCGTTTTT